GAACGCACAAGAAATAATTCCACAAGTTATTCTTCTGCTGTTCTTATCCTGTGTCCAGAAATTAGATAAAACATCACAGAAGGATGGCTCTGAGGTGGCATCTGTTCTTCACCTACACTTCCAGAATTCCACCTGTCCCCACACTCGAGGTTCAAGGACCCACCCGACACCCGGGAGCACTGGACGCTGCGGCCCCATTTCTTTGCAAGACGCCCCTGCAAAGCAGCCTGAGTGCTGATTCCAGGGTGCCGTGCATTGATGACAGATGCTCTTACTGCTGTTGGAGGCTGCATCTGGGGCACTCAACTCAGCCCTGGATGCAGGAGATAGCCCTGGGAGGTGGTGGAGGGAGAGATGAGATGTGCAAAAATACGAAACTGAGTTCCAAGACGGAGAGGCAGAGGTAAGCCTACAAGTGTCAGGTGTTCAGCCATGCCTGAGCAGGCACCACTAGGAGGGATGACAAAGGAGCTGGATGACAGCCCCCGCTTTCAATGGCTCCATCTTTTAGGGAGGAAAATATACACCAGCGCAGCTAATGCAGAGCCAAAGGGAAGGGACGGTAATGCATAAACTTTTTAATCAAATGTAAGCTCACTAAATGATATCTGAGGGAAAGTAGGGAATTGGGGTCACCTGCTCTAGAGGACGTTGAGGCAGAGGGCCGAGCATGCTCTCCTTTGCCAAGGCAGAGAGGGAGGCAGAACTCTGCGGGAGAAAAGATGTGTCATGGCACCGTTTTTAGCACAGGAGGAAACGGGCTGATGGTGGAGCTGTTGAGGGGCTGTCAGAGCCCCAGTGCGGTGAAATTCAGTGGCTCTGTTTTCTTGCTCAGGGGAACAAGGGACACCGAAGCTAAGGACAGGTCTCCAGTTCTCTCAGTGGGCAGGGGCTGCATGGCATTCTCTTTCCTGGGACTGCTCTGGATGGAACTCACACAGATGAGAATCAAGCTGAAGTCTGTGGGCAGGATTAGTAAAAGTTTTTGGAGATGTCTTGCTCTGAATTCTGTGTAAGTGAACAGCCCCAGAAATACTGTATTATAGCTACTGGAGTCTGAAAATGGGGTGATTTATGTATTAGGCTGAATCATACAAAATTGCTGGTTCTTGACCTACAAAAGTGGAAATCTCACGTGGTCACTGATCACGTTGGAAGGCCCACAGGCCACATAAGTTCCTCGAGTCAGCCTGGGCCACAGCCCCGCTTGTGGGTACCTCTTCTCCCCTCTCAGGCCACACATCATGGGCTTGCCAGGGAGTTGGATGGCCTCCAGCATGCAGTGCTTTCCGGGCCCTTGACACCACCCCACAAAGTCACCTCAGGGCCACTAAAATCCCCAATGCCTCCATGTCCAGACCTTCATGGGTGGGTCTGCACGAGTTTCCTGAAGAGATCTCAGTCTGTTTGTAAAGACCACCCGACTATGCCAAACGACTTAATAAGATAGATCTTTCCTAGCTCCGAGGTGGTATTTACCTATTCCCTCTTCCGACACTGTTCCTAACATGAAGGCAGAATGAACTGGTGGCTGACAGAGAAGGTGTACTCAAGGGTTGCAACAATAAACGAGTAATGGGGAAAAGCATCCCTGCCCAGGGCACAGAGGTATAGACACAGCAGCATGGCGGCCGAGGGCATGGCCGATCTCCCCAAGGAGGCAAACACCAGGATGGCTTGCGAAGACTACAACCCATTGACCCTGTTGACTCTGCCGTCATAAAACTGGAGGTAGGTGAGTCATCCAAGTAGAAGGATTAAAGCCCTGGCCTTGTTAGGGTTGTTGGGTCTAGGGAAGGAGGTGAGTCTGTGCCCCAGGCCCCTGGAAGGGTGGGAGCAATTACCCACCCATGTCTTGACAGCCATGCCAGACCCAGCCTGCGAGTCTGTGCATGAGCAAGGAGCCAGGCAGCGCCCTGCCACAGGCTGGAGAGGTCCTGGGCAGCTCACGGGAGGCTCAGGGTTCTGAATGCTGCCTGCAGGACCTTGGCAAGGTCTCCACACTCCCTGAAACCCCAGTTGCCTCTGTAAAGTGGGCATATTGTAGAATCCAGTTGTTAATATATGTGTAATATATAATTTGTACAATGTAACATTAGTTAAATGCTAGTTATTGTTATTAAATAGATGTTTACCCTCTGCAAATGGGGAAATTAAGTCAGACTAGTGAGCACCAACAGCCCTGAATGTCCCAAAAACCTGGTGACTTAGGACACCCATGACTCCATTCCCTCTCACACACCACATCCCATCTGGTAGCAAATCCAAATCGGTCTAGAACCTGGCCACTTGTCACCACTGCATGCCACCCCTGAGGAAGTCACTGTCTCTTTGTCCCTGGATTATGGCTGTAGCCCCCTCTCTGCTCTGCTAGCCTCTCTGTACCCAGCAGCAGGGGTCATGATGGGATGGTGTCCCTCCAATGGCCCCATCTCACAGAAAAAGCTAAGTCCTTATGGCAGTTGGTGAGGCCCTACTGGGCCCTTGCCATCAATCACCTCTGACCTCTCTGTGTCTTCTGCCTGGAATGTTTTTCCCAGAACCCTCCTCACTTTCTTGGGAGGCACCCTGATCTAATCCTTTTCTCTCCTCCACACTCCTCACACTCTAATGTGCTCTGCATCTTCATGATTTGTTTTGCTTGCTGTATGCCTCTCCCCACTAAAATGGAAGCTCCAGAAGGGGAGGCATTGTGGTCTGTCTTGGTCAGGGTTTTGTCCCAGTCCTGCAACCTACAGCCACGGTACCTTAGGTGGCTGGCTGGCTGAAGGAACACAGCAGTGACTGACTCTTGCTTTTTGCCCCAGTTCAGAGCATCCAAATGAGGCCAGGGTGAGGAGGAGTCTGCTTCCATGGTTCTTGTGAATCCTGAAAGGAGGGGGTTCTTAATCTAGGTCTATGGACAGACCCCAGGGGTCTCTTTCAGGTGATGATCAGAATTCAAGGAGACCTTGGATTTCTATGGTACAAACTGCATCCTTATTTTCACTTTCCTCTAACTGAAATTAAGCAATTCTTTCCATTATGAATATGGACAATGAACCACAGTGGTACTACCTGTGACTTTGTCACCAGTGGAAATTACAGACATTTTCATATCACATCATGGTGCTGCCAAGGTCTCAAAATATTGGTTTCGCTCATCACTGCTTCAAAATGACAGCAGTTACAATGCCCACTGCTAGAGCTTAGTTTTTAATGCATGCATAACAATGGCCATATATTACTACATATGTGCTTGATTTGGAAAAGTATTTCACTATACCTGATTTACTTTGTAATCCTATTTTTTTTTTTTTTTGTTTTTTTGTTTTCTGCATTTATATACACTCTGAGAAGGACAGGAGGTCCACGGCACAAAGGAGTTTGAGGGACCCTGCTGATGGGACAGCCTTTAGTTAAGTTCTAGGGTAAATGCTCAAGGTTGAGTCCTCAGAGGGCGTGAGAAGGGTGACAGCCCCTACCACTAACAGTATGGTTCAGTGCTGTCGCATCTGTCCAACCTCCCTATCTACGACTGACATCAGCTCATCTTACGGATGTGGAAATAGCCAGGGAGAGGGGTACTGCTGAGGTCCAACTGGGAGCAGGATTCAGATCTAGATTTTTAGCTCTAGAATCCTGAGCCAGTGTCAAGAGGGGCGCCCGTAAAACTCTGCAGTTTGAGCAAAACAAAATGGACTTCCAAGCTAGAGTGGAATACACACACACACATATACATACATATGCTTTTTGTCTAACAACTAAATTCAATATATTTACTTTGTCCTTGCAGAATACTTATGCGAAATGGAGCCTGAAAAATAAATCGTTTAGGAAAAAAGGGCATGACCTGGCTCATTTTCCATTGGAAAAGACCTGATGTGTGGGAAGGAGGAAGGGGAGTACACTATGAAACAGACCCTGCTGCACGAATAGCTTTTCACGTACCATTGTATTTGCCATCCCTTTTCACCAATGTGGAAGCCGAGGCTAGGAGTAATGGCCTAACTTGGCTCAGGTCGCTCTCCCATTTTACAACTAAGTGGCTTGACCGCCATTTGATAATAAAGATTCTGAGAAACACCTGAGACCTAACATTTGTCCTTTTTTTTTTTTTTTTAAGATTTTATTTCTTTCTTTATTTCCGAAGGAGAGAGAGAGAGCACAGGCAGGGGGAAGAGAAAACTCTCCACTGAGCAGGGAGCCCGACACGATGTGGGGCTCGATCCCAGGACCCTGGGATCATGACCTGAGCCCAAGGCAGATGTTTAGCCGACTGCACCACCGAGGTGTCCCCTAACATTCGTCCTTCTAAGCAATCCTAGTAACTCTTCACAACTAGTTACCACCGGTCAGACCCAGTGCCTGGCTGGAAACGTTTTTCTCATTTCAGTTTCCTAATGGTAGCTCCTGCCCTGGGGGTAGGGGTGGGATTCCCCACTAGAAAAGCTCCAGGCAACAGTCACAGCCCCTCTGAATCAACAGCTACATGCACAGCTTCAGAGCAATACAAAACAGGTAATTTAATTTCATAAAAGGATCTTTCTACAGTTTGTTTTTTTCCTCCCAGCCTATTGAAATGTACACACCATGAGGACAAAGTACAAGGTGCTGTTCGGCTGTAATTTTACTTCTGCACATATTTAATGTGCTGCTGGGGATGAAACATTTCATGGTTCCTGTGCTCAGTAAATGGAATAAATCAATGTGTTTAAGAGAGAGCGATTTTTTTCCCTTGCTGTTTGGGGGGAAGAGCTCTTTACTTTTCTATTAACATGAACTTAATGAACCATTTCACATTCAAAACCCCTTAGAAAGGTCGTAATGCCTATTTCCTAATTAAATTTTTTTAAAGTCAAATAATGCTAATTTTCTTTTATATCTCCACATGGGGAGCAGTGCTTTATAAAAAAAAAAAAATTACTGGAACAAACAACAGCATTGAGTGAAGGACTATTTCAGTGAGTTAAAGATCGATGCTTGTAGGGCTTTGTAAAGGAAGACAGGGAGAGCAAAGACATGGCCCAGCATTTTATTAAACATAACCAAAGAACCACAGGATTTGGGTTGCCATGGGATCCAGGCCTCAGTGAAGTTTATCGCTGGGTGTCAAGTTGGTGTGATGCTTTAAAAGCAGCAGCCATAAAGCCAACACGCTTTAAGCAACAGTGGTCACTCCACATTTAGGTGCCTTTGCTCGGATTTCCTTTACATCCTGTATTAAAAGCGCCAAGGCTTCGTGTGATGCAGAAACAGGTACTTGAGGCTCACTGCTGCTTCGTTCTCAGGCCGGTCTGATTTTTCCCCCTCCTAATTGCAGCAGACAGCATCGGAGCTTTGTCAGAGTTACCTGCTCTGAATAGAAGCACTCTCGGGCCGCCTCGTCAAAGACCAGGGAAGAAAGCAGGCTCTCTGGCTGGCAGCAGTCTTGGATTCTCGCCCCCGGCCATACTGTGCAATCACGCTGTTTATTCCACTGTAACAATCAGACGGCGCAAGCGGAGCACCTGGTCCTCCCGGCCGGGCCTTCCTTGGCAGCTGACGGGCAACCTCACTGCCAGGTGGTCACGCTTCAATTACATTAGCTAGCCATTCTAGGGTTAACGAGGACCCACTTTCTTCAGAATGCCCAGGGAAAATCAGTTCTTCATAAAGGACAGTATGCCTTTTGTTGATCACTGAACAATGTTGCTGAAAATCCATTAAATTAAATTCTCTTTATTGGACTGCATAATGCAGTCGCGATAGCCTCAGTGAGAAGTTTGCATGTTTATTTACCAAATTTCTGAATAATTTATACGTGGATCCTGGCTCTTCTTTCATTTAGTGGCCAAATGTTTCTTCGGAACGGAACAGTGTGGTTTTGCCTTCATTTTAATATGGGTTAATGCTCGCTTGCAAAAAAACAAAAAAAAAAAAACAAAAAAGACAAAAGCAGACTGAATTGAAAACCGGCCAGAAGAGTCAGTCTCACTTTAACTCAGAATTCATATTGCAATTTTCTTTTGCAGGAGGACTTTTAAATATATTGGCATGAACTTATGTAATATGCTTTTTCTTCTTCATATGATCACCATTTTTATAGAGAGATGGAAACAAGAATGGGGGGTAGGACGGCTGCTGAGCTGCTGGTCGGGGGACGGTGGCCAAGGCTCAGGTGGAGGTGAGCCTGGGTGGAAGAGCACAGAGTGGCTGAGTTAGATGCGCAGGCGGGGCGCCCTCGCACCCACCACAGCTGCTCCCTGCAGGCCTCACGCGACAGGCGGGCAGGACAGCAGCAGACGGGAGCCCCCTTGCCCTCTTCTTCCTTTGCTCTTTTCCCCCCAGTATCGACAGGGGGTCCCTGGAGGAGCCCTCCTTTCTTGTTCCGATGGGTGCTTTAGGTTCCCGACAGTTAGACACCCTGGCCGGCAGCGTGGGACACACGGCCAAACAGTTTGAATGTGTTGGAAGAGCTTTGAGTGGAAGACGTGTAAGGAAAACAAACGTATAGAGGTATCAACAGTCATTTAGATAATATTTTCCTAGGAATTTAGCCTTAGCTGTTTGGGAGATAATTTAAAATAGGATTTTTTTTTTTTTTTAATTCAGAGGAAGCATTAATAAAAACCTCAACAACAAAAAAGTTAGATATTAGGTACATACTAGGTACCAAAAGAACATAAGCCAAACAAAGAAAAAATTTCTATTGAATTTCACTTTCATTTACGGGAGGGGGGGAACCCTACCTTTTTTCAGAGATGAGGAAGAGCATCCGAATAAATTTAGCTAGGAAGGTAAATTTTAGTTGATATGCAAATTACAAGTACTGTGTGAGAATATTTGTAGCAATTAGTGATGGAGCAGTCGGAGGTGGAAGGCATGAGAAAACAAGCGCTCAGGGGGAGAGCACTGGCCTAGTGTGAGTGCCTCTCCACTCACTGGCCGCGGTGCTTGGGCAAGTCCCTGCACTTCTTTTTTTTAAGATTTTATTTATTTATTTGAGAGAGAGAGAGAGAACGAGTGGGGGAGGAATAGGGGGAGAGGGAGAAGCAGGCTCCCAGCTCAGCAAGGAGCCTGGTGTGGGGCTTGATCCCAGGACTCCGGGATCATGACCTGAGCCGAAGGCAGACACTTAACTGAGTGAGCCACGCGGGTGCCCCATCTGCACTTCTTTCTGAGCCTCAGTTTCCTCTCATGTAGAATGGGACAACAACCCCACTCCCTAGTTACGATTAAATGCACATAAAGCTGTGTTGCTGTGTTACACACACCCCAGGGGCTCATGTAAAAATGACTGGCTAGTAGACATTTTACTAGAATGTCATCAACTTCCAGTTCGCTGAGGCACCTCCCCTTGGCCCTCCATCAACCTAGCCTGATTCAAGCTAGGAGCACGCACTCAGGCACTCTCAGCCCTGTAACGTAACCACTTCATTGATTTCCTTTGCAGTCAAACCTCCAAAGCAAAAGCAAATTAGAACCCGGTGCCAGAACAAAGCAAACACCAAAGAATAACTTTCTGTTATATTGCTGATGGAGTATCAAGAGCACAGATTACAATCGGACATTCAGAAGTAAATGTTTTAGTTTTGCTTCCTGATCATTTTCGATAAACGCTTTGCCTTTGCCTTGGCATTTATCTTCCTGAGGCAGGCTGGTGTCTGGTCACAATGTACGGCTCTAGTAACATTATCTCTGAATTATAAGATCCACCTTGAACAAGGCTCCAGCACAAAGGTATTAGAATGTGCTGGTGACAAGCAGACGCTCTTTTGCAGCTCAAAAACAATGGCTGAAGCTTCCGTATGAATAGGCAGAAAGCACATCAAAGGCAGGCTTTTATGGAGAAAAATTGTGTGATGTCCACTTTAATCTCTCTCAAAATCTATGCACAAACTGAACCCAATTTCATTTTTCACATAAATGCTAAGGCTTGATAACAAGGACATCTTTTTCTTTACAGTTAAAAGAGGAGGAGACAAAGATATGCTAGCATAGCCTTTGAACTTTTTAAAGCTATATCAATGAGCCATGATACTTAACCACTGATACAAGGGCAGAGATTTTACAATAGCTGCATTTAAAGCATTCTGACTAAAACCATTCATTATTATAGATTAAAGAATAGCACTGATATCTACACTTTCTTTAAAGCTGCATAGTTTTTATACTTTTAACCCTTTGATCAATCTCACAAAGGTCTAAAAAGGTAAGATGGTAATATCACAAGGGTTTATAAAAATACAGTGGTATAGGGATGTCATTTGAAGGGGGTCACATTCATTTCTTGGATGAGGAAGGATGCAGAAGCAGCACGTTTTGGGGTAGAAATGGGGGGGATGGTTCTCTGGTGAACAGATGTCTTGGAATGGAGATAATCCAAGCATTGACTCTTCTGACACTGAGTTGTTTGGGGGGGGTGGTGAGGGCTATGAAATGGTGTCTGCAGATGCCTCCCGATCTCCACTTTCCTCTCCTTGTACCTCTGGGTCCCTCTTGAGCCTTGGGTGTCCCATAACAGGTGCCCTCATTGTGAAGTTGGTGCTGTTTGTCTTTCACAGTTTCCAGCCAGCATCCCAGAGTCCCCCACTTGCTCCCACCTGCCCGGCTGCTCCTCGTCTCACGCAACATTCTTGCGGGTGGAATCCAGGCTCTGTGGTCAGACTGCTGGTGCTCCAATCTCCCCATCCCCACTCACCAGCTGTGTGCTCATGAGGAAGTCAGTCCACCTCTTTGAGCCTCAGACTCCTCGCGGGTTAAGGGGGAAAACAGTGATCCTACACAAATTGCTTAGTACGGTGCCCAGCACAAGCTAAGCCCTAGATAGATGTTTGCCACTACCTGCCATTTCTGGCTTGGAAAGAAACCATGGAGGTTCCTGACCCCACCTCCCACAAAGCAGCAGCAAGCCTTTCCTCCTAGGCCTTGGGCATCCATGAATCCCTGCTAAGGGGGCTGCTAATGCCTCATGGCAGCAGCGCTCATTCCTGGCTGCATGTGAGAATAATCCGGCGATTAATCCGCACCGATGAAGCCGGACTCCAAACCAAGTCACCAGAATCTATGGAGCAGGTCCTGGGCATCAGTCTGTACTGCACTTCCCCATGGGATGCTAGGGTTGAGAACCAGGGCTGAGGACAGTGCGACACAAACATTTCCCCTGGAGTCCTCCCCCTTTGCACAGGGGCACAGAATGGGAAGGGAGGACCTTCAGGGGTCCGGAAGCCGGGCCGGAGGGACCTGCAAGCAAGAAATGTGTTCGATTTCTTATCTTAAAAACAACGCAAATTCCTGGTGTATGTTTATGTTAATAAAAAATGTTGTAAATGATTTAACACCCAGTACTGCTGCTGATCTGCAAAGATGAGTTCTGCTTCTCATGGGACCCAACTGGCTCATCGCCTGGTTTCCCAATGTGAGAAGCTCTAATGTAATGATTTCTGGCTGTCCCAGGGGTGTTTGAGTTTCGAAAGGAGGTTCATGAAGACAGAGAAGTCTGTTATCCAAAGGGCTGAAGTCAGGATGGCAGAAGGGCAGATGACAGGACAAACACACTGTTCAGAGGCTGGTTCTGGGTAGGAGGGCCACTGCCTGACATTTGCTCTGCCGCTAGAATCAGAAGTTCAGGGGAGCCTTTAACCTAATCCTGGCTTTGGTTCAGCTCATGGCCCTGACTAGTCCACATCTCCCAGAAAGGGCTGCTCCTGAAAAAAGCTTGTTTTAAAAACCAAAAGCAAAAAAGACCAACCACCAATCCCTCTTGCCCAGCAGGGCTACGTGGTGGGGATGTGTGCGAAGAACCTCTCAACGGAGCCTCCCTTACACAGCACCGAAAACACTTCCATCACCTTGAACTATCAAACAGGTGTTTAAGACTCACATTTCAGTGGGATTTTAATTATAAGTAGATTTTATCAGTTTGTCCAATGCCTTTACCATTCTTAGAACCAGTCCGTAAGAAGTATACTCTTGAAAAGAAAAACTGGCAAAATCCAGCAACGGCTTTGAAAGACGCCATAAGAAGGTCTGAATTTGTAGGCATCTTCTGAAAAGCTGAAATCATGACACAGCTGAAACTAATGGAGCCTACCAGCCCTGAACAATTTACATCTGTTTTGGGGGAAAAAAAAGATTTTTAATGAGTGGATTTATGAGTGGAGTCTATTTTCTTCTTAGAGCCAAAAGTATTTCTCCTGCTGAAGGACCTTTCCCTCCCTTCAACAAGAGCTGTGGTCAGTAAAATTTTACATTCTTATTTAACTGCATGTTCATAACAGAAATCAAACCCGTGAGCTCCTCTGACTGTTGCATGGATGTGTAAGTATCTAGTTAGCAGGAGTACACAGGTAAAAATAGAGAGCTACAAAACAACAAAATTTGAGATTTTTGTTTCTTTACAATTTCTCCATTTTGAGGAGAAACAAGTGAGAACCATTTAGAGAAATAAAAAATTCTAAACTAATTTTACATTAAACACATATGGTGGCAGGTTATAAACCTTTTTCTGGAATTGATTTTTAAAGCCCTTATCACAAAACAGGGTTGGAGACACTCCATATAATAAGAATAATAAAATAACACCCGTTGGGCACAATGCCCAGAGAAAACAGCTACGCAAATATAAGGCGAAAGGAAAAGGATGGTCTCAGAGAGAGACCAAAATGGTTCAAGAAACGGCAACGTCGACACTCGGGGCTTCCATGGAACGAGCGGCCTCCCAGATGCAGCCCTGGGCTCTGGCAGATGTCCTGTTTGGCAGTTAAAGCCTTCTCACAGCCTGCACCCCCCGCCCGTCGAAAACCGCCGTGCACAGTTAATGGAGTTCATACTCATATATAATACACATTTTGAGAATCCAAAAAATTAGGCTGAACTACATGAAAATGCGTTTTTGGATAGGCACCAAATAGTCATATATCAGCAATTTCATTTACTTCAAGCCAATTTAAAGCAAGGAGTGGGGAGCTCATCCCACAATTGTCTCTCATTTTTCATCAACATAAAGCTTTTTTCAGGGGCGCGTGGGTGGCTCAGTTGGTTAAGTGTCTGCCAGGGTCCTGGGATCAAGCCCTGCCTCAGGTTCCCTGCTCAGTAGAGAACCTGCTTCTCCCTCTCCTTCTACCTGCCACTCCCCCTGCTTGTGCTCTCTCTCTCTGTCAAATAGATAAATAAAATCTTAAAAAAGGAAAAAAAAAAAGCTGCTTTCAGAGCACTTCTAGAGGGGATGGGGTGGGACAGTTCCCGATCAGGCCACATCAACAGAGTCAGAGGATCCCTGCCCCTTATCAATGGTGTCTCCAAGGAGGGTGCCCGGTCCCCGACTACAGACAACATTCTGCTCAGCAGAGGTTCAGGGAGGGAGAGTAAAGGGTGGTGCTCTTCTAAAGGTCCCAATCCCACACATGAGCACACTGTGGCAGCATTCTAGCTGCCTTTTGCACAATTATTCTTCTCTTAATCCTTTTTTTTTTTTAAAGATTTTATTTATTTGACAGAGAGACACAGTGAGAGAGGGAACACAAGCAGGGGGAGTGGGAGAGGGAGAAGCAGGCTTCCCGTGGAGCAGCGAGCCCGATGTGGGGCTCGATCCCAGGACCCTGGGATCATGACCTGAGCCGAAGGCAGACGCTTAACGACTGAGCCACCCAGGCGCCCCAATCCTTTTTGTTTTTATGCTTACTGTGCATGGGGTACTTAGTTTGGAATAACTATAATATTGATTTTCAAATCTATTAACTTTATAATTGTTAAATGGGAACACAAATACAGTTTCTCTCCAATTCTGATGGGGTAGGTAAAAATAGTTTTTGAAGAAATGAATATTCAGACACATATATATATATTTTACCATTATAGGTAAATATATATAAAAATATATATTTTACCATTATAGGAATAAGAGTTAATATTGTGATGAAGAAATACAAGCTGAATGTGGGACTCTATTCTGTGTTAGGGTAGAAAGAAATTCTATGACTTGAGAGCAGCCGACTGGGTAGAGTGGAGTTTAACCTCCAATATTAAATAGTCTTTAAAAAAAGGCATGAACCATGGGTATTATTTTTTAAAATCAGCGTTAAGCAGACGATCTTAGTTTGTAATAGATTTTTTGAATGAACATGGCTAGTTTTACACCATGTGTCATAAAATATCAAATTTGTCAGGTCTTTGAATAGATAATAACAAACCACCTCTATGTCCAGACAGAATTTTACAACACACTAAAAATTAAACAAATAATGGAAGTTTTAAAAATATGTTTCTTGAGTGTTACCATTTTCCCAGAAGAAACAAACTCAATTGTTATTCCATTACTTTTAATAAAACCTATGCTATAAAATTTCTTGGGCAATTCCATAAAGGAGATACTGGAAAACAGTAATGACATTTTATTTCTGACATTCAAGCATTTCTAGAACTTTAATTTCAGAAAGGAAAAGCTCAAACTAACAGGTATATATTCACTGCATTGAAAGGAAACGTAGCTTTTTAAAAATCTGAATTTTTTTTTCATTTCATTTTATTTAAATTCCTGTACAGTTAACATACAGTGTTACATTATTTTCAGGTGTACAACATAGTGATTCAACAATTTGAATTTTGACTCTCACCTAAGAGAAAATTATAAAAACTGATTAATAATTCACTTGCTTAGGAAGGGATCTGACTTTGGGCTTGTGAATATATAATGAAGGAAAAAGTAAATTTGCTTTCAAGTTAAGACTTAACAGAAGTTTGTTGAGTCCATAATTAGCACCTACCCGGGCGGGCTTTCTAGAATCTCAACAAGGAAAACCTGGAATGCAAGTCCCATTCAACAACCTGAGAAGACGGAGCGCTTTTCACAGGCAAAGAACACATTACCAAGTTCATTAATTAAACAGTGCGGGTGGAGCAGATGGATGCTACCTACGCTCGAATGACGCTAAATTGGGACAGAGGTTTGCAGTCCTTAATGAGGCTCCATAAAATGAATGATTACATAGTGATCACAAGTAAACAAGCCTGTGAGGAGAGCTGGATTATCAGGGCAACAAGTCCTGCAACATGGTAACAAGAAGACCAACGTGAGTGGAAGTATCCAATACACAAAAACGCCTCTGAGATCATTCAATCCCACGACCCAGGCCTCTGGAAAGAGGCCGAGGAAAGCGGTATGGGGCTACAAAGGGTTAAGCATGAAATGACAGTGGGGCAAGAATATGAAAATGCCTGGCCATGGAAATGAATGGGACAGAAACCTTTTTGTCACATATTAAGTGCATTATTGAGAATGAGACTCTCAAGATTCCTTTTATCTTTGCAGAAAAACAGAGATGCAGAATGTCAGGTACTTGGGCTTTTTAAACTAAAAGGCTTAGCAGAAGCAGCTATCCAGAAAACGTGGGCATTAAGATGATTTTTTAAATGATTTTTTCCCCTCTTATTGCTAATTAAATTTTTACTTTTTCAGCTACGTCAAACCCTTAACTTTTTTGGGGGGGCAGAGGCTCCTAATTAGCCTTTGTGCACATGGACTTGTATACACACTCAAAAGAAATTTTGTAGACTCACAGGTAAAATAGAAACTTATTTTGATATTAAAAATTTGCTATGAATATTTGTTGTTCTCTGGAACTTAAAATTTTGAAATGAAGGCTATACCTCTTTAGAATGATCTGTTATATTTTCCAGTTTAGGCATAATATAAGCTCATTAACAGTAATTGAGAACTTTGGAACAAGGGTATCCAGAGAACACAGGGTAGCTATGTATTATAGCGTAGCTCAGAGGTCGGCAGTAGTTAATGGGGACCCCCTGCTTCTGTCCTGTGGCCCCCATTGGGATGCCCCATGTCGTTATGCCTGATCTGTATTTCCTTGGCTTTGATTTTCTCAGTACACATGTCCTTTACCGTAAGTTTCTTCAAATCCATTTTTGAAAGATGTAGAATATAAACAGATTCAACATATACAAATCAGTGTCTTGCAAGATCAGAAACATCACCATGATGGAACTATGCTCTCAAATATTCATCAAGGCAAAAGCACAAGGAGTCACACCCATCAGGTCCTTGTTTTGAGTTAGACTCTGTCGTGAGATATGATATTGAGAATATTTATACTGGATGTTTTCACTGTTGTTTAATTTGGAAGCCACGTGTATTTAGGTATAAGTGACGGGCATGTGGTATCAAAATGGAATCCTTTCCATTGCAGTTTACAACACTTTTGCTTTCATCTTTATTTCATAAAATCGAGGTTTAAGGGCTAAGATCCTCTTGGTAAGAATAATGATAGGATAGGCTAAAATGTAATTGAATCGCTTCACTTTCTCAAAGCTGTGTAATTTTGATGGCTTCCTGTTCTCAGGTCAAAAGTGTGGACTCCTGAGAAACAGTAGGGTGCAGGGGGGGCTCAGAGTCAGGGTTGGCCGGGGCTCCCATCCTGGCCCTGCCCTGGCTGTGGGGCCGTGGCTAAGCCCCGTGCTTCCTGGAGCTTCATTCTCTCCATCTGTGATATTCTGCAGAGCTGTCACCAAGCGCGGCAGTAATGGACCAATGGCCCTCCTCTTCTGTGTGCCTTTGACCATCCTGTGCTTCTCTGCACGTTATCCACCGCTGTCCCAGACTGCCCTTTGGATGCCAAGTGCCCCCTCCGATCCATCAGCTAGTGAGAGAGCATTTTATGGGTCACGTGCAGACACTAACCACCGACCGAGAGTTCAATCTCAGTGATGTCCCCACTTCTATCCTTGTGCAGTTATGTGGATATTCCCCTACATTTCACCCACATTTCATAAAAACGAGTGGGAATAGGGTAAAATGAAAGTACTGACACTAGTAACATACACAGCTCTCAACCTCATGGCAGCGGCAGAATTGGGAACCCTTTACCCGGTAAACTCAAGTATTTTGAAAACTTCAGTATCTGTTTAATTTAATTTTAATTTAACTGTCATGGTGAATGTTAAAAGTGTCTAATGGATTTTTAGGCTCACTGAGTATACACTAGGTGACTTCTGGTGGCAAAGGGCAAGAGCATTTGAGAACACACTGGAAAAACAGCATCAAACACGAGGATCTGGGAAGTGAGGCAGATTTAGGAATTTTACGTATTTTGTTTCATTATGTGAAAACAGAACGCCCTTTATAAGAGATTAGATGTACATTTGAATTCATATCTGTTGATAAGAAAGCAAAAATTCTGGATTTGAAAATGTAACCAAAATGAAATATCAATATTGAGAATATGAGTCTCCAGTCCCTTCCCCCAAAGAAATCTTTTGGGGGCACACAAAGTAATCTGCTAAAAAAAAAAAAAAAATCTGTATTATCCTCCTAGGTTGAAGTTCCTTTAAAAATTTATGTATTCGCCAAAATCTGATTGCAAAAGCTCTCATGTGCCAGACTGACTACAAAACACTTAGTGATTAGGTCCATAATTAGAAACTGTCTAATCATTTTCTGTTGGCAATTCTTGACTCTGAAATGCTTAAATAAAATGTTCAATAAAGGATTATTTATAAAAGAACCAATATTTTGATCACGAATTCAAAGGGAGGCCTGATTGTACAAATGCAGATAACTGCCTTATTTTAGTACATAAAATCTCAGATTGAATTTAGATATCTATTAGCACAACTGATCCTAAATAATTTAGTAGGGACATTTTTTTAGAAGATCCCCCTGTATTTATTTCGCAGTTTGAAAAAATGTTCACTCAAATGAAAATTTATAATCTAGATTTGTTTGGGTACAATTTGATTATTTAAATGAGCCATGCATTTAGTATACTAGGAGAAACTATGCAATATCATATTCCACAAAAGAATCAACATTCTTTTACAGCTTTAAAATATTCTAATGTGAAGAGCTTTGAACTACTCTGCAGTTGAGCTGATATACTGTTAGGCAGTAGTTTCTATGGAACTTTATTTAAAAAGAGAAAGCTAGCATTAAACTCTCCCATTGTGAGAAAGGGACAAAGTATAAGCTTAAAAATTCCCCTTCCCTGAAGGGAAAAAAAACCAAACCGGTCCAGAAATTTAAAATAACTTCAACCCAAAGCAAAGCAAGACATTTCATATGCTTTCAATAAGTGTAACACATTTTATATAACGATCCAGAAGCCACCTTTCTAGAGACTTGCAACTGAAGACTTTTTAGCTGGAGGGGTTAAAAGTGTGGGTGTGGAAGTCAGCTTTTGTTTGAAAAATTAGCAATGCTATGAGTCATCATGCATTAGCAGCGGAGGAGTTTTGCATCTTGTACGAATCCAGGCACCATATGCCATGCGAAGGCCTATTACTTTATTCGGTGCCACCGCTGACAGGCAGCCACGTGGGTATCCCCAGTGGAAGGGCTGTCTCCTCCCGGCGGCGAGGACAGGAACCCAGTGAGCTGAACACATCCGACATTGTACGGAGCAGCAGGAACAGCTGGTAAGCTAGCAAGCAGCAACGGCCGAGCGGAGCGCGGATGCTAATGAGCCTGGCGACAATGCTGGCCTTCAGAGGGACGATGGCAACGTCCGCGTGTCCCCACAACAGCCTCAAGAGTAGAATCTGCTCGTTCATGCCTTCAGTCTCATTAAAACACAATACTGGTATTTGTGGTTTATCAAAACCAGTTGTAAGTCACAACTTCTAAATCTACCCAACAGATCCAACATGCTTTAAAAGTTGCGCTGAAATGTATGTACAATTTCCCCAGGCATCTTTACGTACTGTGGGGAATTGGGGGCAGTGGGGTGACACGACTGGGTCCAGGTCCTGGCTCACCCCTAACATTGACTGTGTGGCCTCAGGCGGGTTAGTTAACCTTTCTGGGGCTCTGTACGCACTATATTTTTCAAATATAGTAAAATACATAATAGATTATCTTATATAAGACACTGTGTTTGCCTAACATCCTGAAATAGGACAATCACTGTGTCTCCCTCAGAGGGTTGCAGCAAGGATCAGATGAGTGACTGTGTGGGAGGTTCACCATGCCTGGGATGGAGCAAGTGCCGCTCAAGCTAAGCAAACCACTGGCTCTCCAGGTGAGCAGAGAGTTGAGCTCCGTTACTCTTCCTGGAACCAAGGTGGTGGGCAAGTTCCTTAACTTCCTAGCCTTGTTTCTCTCACTGTGTAAGACGCAGCACATTTCCTTAGGAGTGAAGGGCCTGCTACGTGGGGGTGGGGCAGAGGACTGGCAGATACAGTAAGACCAGACAGTGGTGACAAGGGAAGTGGGGGTAGGGAGGCCTTTGGAAGCCGGGTGTGATGCCCGCCGTGGCATCTGCGGTCCCCAGACCAGAGATCCTTGAAGGTTCCAGGTTTACTGAGGGTTCTGTTCTGCTGCAAGGAGCATTCAGAGATGTGTGCTCCTTTCACGTCTCTGAATGCTCCTTGCTTTGATCAAGTCCCTGTGACTCCTGCTGGCTCTCCAAATGCCAGGTGGAAGGCCCCTGCTCAGGATGCCTTCTTTTGGGCTCAGGGCTGAGCTCTCCATCATGGCCATTACGAAACTGCATGGACCTCTCTTTTCCTTATGTTTTCCATACTCCACAAAGGGCCCTTTGAGGATGGGGACTGTGCCCTCCCTCCATTTTTGTGCCCTCAGCAACAGCACGGTGTCTGGTGTACAGGAAATAGCCAATAGATATTTGGTTGAATGAGTAAACTAATGGAAAAAATGGCTTTTAGATTTGCCATTTTCAGAACTGGTGTCTGGGAGTGTGAATGAGATGATCAGAATCTGTTGATCACTTTTTTTTGCCAAGATTTTCTTAAAAGATCTGAGAAAAGACATTTTATTGAAAGATCATCTCCAGCAGCGAATGCACTTTCCATCTCTACTCCTGGGGTCGGGTGTGTGTAAATACAGTGGGAGAACTGTCTCCTTGAAGTCTTCCTGCAAGCTAAGCTCAACTCAATCTCAACCCGAAGGTGATGTCGGTACTTTCTGAAAAATACAAAGCATGCAGTTGCCTGCAGAGTGCAGAGCAGTGAGATCACTGCTCAGAGTGGTCTCTGCCTCAGAGTTTAAAAGGCTATAAAGATTGACATAAAGACTACATACCAGGAGAGATAAACTTGAATTTAAAGAAGTACAATGACAAACATCCTAAGGAACTTTGTGCAAAATACAGCATGGAATTCATGACGAATTCAAGCATGTTTTAATCTGGAAAACTGCATTCACAGAGGAAATCTTAGTTCTCTGGCCGGCAGCTGCTGAGGCTCTCACATGGAGCAGGCATTAGACCCTCGGCTCTGCTGCCCCTGGCAGGGTGGCCTTGCACAGTGGTCAGTCCTGACCCTGATTTGAATTTGTTGTTTCCTATATATTTGCTTTCTTTATAATCAGCTCTCAATTTTCTGTTGCATCCGAAATTCCACAGACAAAATCAGGATTACTCAACATGTTAAAAGAGGATTGGAAAGCGAGGTGAAGAACTGGAAGGGGCTTTTTCTGACTCCCACCCTGCTTACAGATGATGCACAGGAGCAGTTTGAGAAAAGACCCTACAGCAGAGCCCCCCCACCCCCCCGCCCCGAGGCCTCAGTGGTCCTGGAAGAGCCTGGTACTCAGCCCCAAGTCTCTCACAGGTCAAAGCCATCCAAAGAGGAGATTGATACAGAATGTTTAGTATTTTCTATTGATCTTTGGTGGGGAAGTAGTTGCTAGAGTAAGAATGCTCTTTAGTCACTGGGATTTCAAAGATTTTTTTTTTTTTTAATCTTTAATGTTTAAAAAATGCCCAGAATAGAAATACTTGGGGCACAAGGCTCAAGAGTAGACGAAACTGCCCAGGATGCAGTTATGATCAGGATCAGCACAGAACGGAGTTGGTGAGTTTGGGAAGGGAGCAAAATATGTGCCTGAAATTTACATACACACACACACACACAGAGACACGTGTCCCAAGTAGTCCATTTCCCTGAATCAAGTTTCAGAGGAATGGTGATCCATGCAAGAGATAAGACACACACATTACAAATGGAATGTGCCCCTAGCAAGGGTGCTATGAATCTGAGCCATAAAGCTGCCGCCTTCACGGTCCCGTGTAATGTCACCTAAGCGCTCTGCCTTGCATGACTTGCTGTAGGCTGCCACAGATTAGAGCTATTGATTGCTCCCTGCAGAAGGGTCTCACTGTGCGAAAGGAAGGTAAGCGGTAGAGACAGACAGCTTCAGTATTGATTGGGTCCAGCGGGGGGCTGTGCTTCCAAATGAGGGTCAGCACTCCTTCACACCACCTAGGAGGGTTACTGTGATGTGCATCCGGGCACAGAAGGATAGGGGAACCGGGCCAAATGCCAGAGTCTCAAGGCCACCTCCTCTCATGTTAGCCAGTCACAATACCTCTCAGAGAAGCCAAAGATGCCACGTGAAATCTCAGGCAACAGAAATCATGGCAACAGAAGCCTAGGATGGGCACTGGTGCACTCTTCCAAGGCAGACGGACCATTGTCACAGAGAGCTGCCAGAGGCCACGTCAAAAACTGTCAAAGCAATGTGTATGCAGCTTCAAGAATGTCCCTCTAATGTCTGAGAGGTTCATCAAAGCCAGAAGGCAGCTCTTGTTACAAAAGACAAAAACCTTTTCCCCACTAAAAGTTGACCGCTCTACTCACTTATAGCTGAATATTAAAAAAAAAAAATGGGTCCAAGCAGACA